GAGGCCTGGTGGAGGCGTGTGTGAGTGAATCAGTGTGTAAGTGCTGAGGAGGATGGCAGTGACTGGATCCAGACGTAGGAGAACAGTATAAATTAGTAGTTCAGAGAACCATGGGCTCTAGGGTCAGAGAGATAATGTTCAAATTCCTGCTCCACCATCATCCATGTGACCTCCTGTAGGCATTATTGGTGGGAACTTGGGCAGGTTATTTAGTCGCTTGGAAGCCTGTTTGCTTATCTGTAAAATAGTGCTAATAACACTCACGAGGTTAAAAGGTTCAGCACGGTGCCTGAGTCATCTATTATTACTAACTGGTCGTTGCTCACTCTTCCTTTCTCCATGCCCAGTTTTGGGATGTTGAGTCAGAAACACTCAGAAGAGGAGCTGGAGAAAGATGGGGAGACTGAGGATGAAAATGGGACAGTGGATCTCTTATCCTAAGCTTCTAAGGGTGGAGCACTTTGCTGTGACTGACAGAAATGAGTAATGGGACTCATCACTCCTGAGGACCTTCCTGCTACCCAGAATTCCAGGAAAATACACTGTAGCTTCAACCGTCTTAATGTTCTTGGCAAAGAGGGCATTGTCCCCGGCTTTTTGCATGACTGGGATCACTGCTGAAATCTGGACTTCCCTTTGTCTCGTATACATGGACTCAACTGCTTTCTAGTCATATCAGTCAGTTGCTATTTTATCAGCTAAATCAAAGTAAAATTCTTTATGGTTCTGTCGATAATTTTCTACCTGCCAAAAGGACAGTTTCTAAAGTAATCAGTTCCAGAGTGTCTCAGATGAAAATCTATGCAAATTTGCATTTAGCAATTGGCTTCATAGTCATAACGTCAAAGCTGGCAGGACTTAATACTCAGTACGATCACACCGGGACGATGGCAGAGAACCGAACCTATTAATGGTCACAGAAATTAGGCTGAAACATTTCCTGTGCTATTTCTTATATTTACAAAACTTAAACTGAACAGTAGGTCACCCAAGTAGAGAATTCCTAAGAGTAAAGTTTAATCTCTTATTAAACCGCTATCCATTTTAGCTCACTCATTTAGCATAACGTAGGTACCTGAAGAAAAATGCGTCCAATCCCACTCAGCAGCTGAGGCTCTTGCTCTGGGTAATATTTGATAACCGAATGATAGGCATCCACGGCAAGCACATAATCCTACGGGAAGAAAAACCAAAAAGTACTTTTTAAGGTTAAAGAAATCACTGTTTTACTTCTACACATGTAGAAGAGTACAAATGTATGCAGACTTATAAAGAGACAACACATTACCATATGTGATAGCAGAAAAGTAGAAAACTCAATATAAGACACTTGGTCTAGGAGGTAAGTGACAAGCTTTCTCCTGTCAGCCATGTCAAACCAAGATTCTAAGCTTTGTTTGTAACTGCTGTTGGTGTGTGCTGTGAAGCTGACTCTGACTCAATGTGACTCAATGTGACAGAGAAGAACTGCCCCATAGGGTTTCCTGGGCTGTAATCTTTACAGGAGCACCTTGCTAGGTCTTTTCTCCCTTGGAGTCACTGGTGGGCTCGAACCACCAACCTATTGGCTAACAGTGGAGCGCCTAACTATTGTACCACCTGGGCTCCTTGTTTGTAACTACCAAAAAAAAAAAAAAAAAAAACCCAAACCCACTGCCGTTGAGTCGATTCCAACTCAGTGACCCTATAAGACAGAGTAGAACTGTCCCATCGGGTTTCCAAGGAGCGGCTGGTGGATTCAAACTGCTGACCTTTTGGTTAGCAGCCGAGCTCTTAACCACTGTGCCACCAGGGCTCCTGTCTGTAACTAGAAAAGGTGAAATTTGTCTTTCATGGAGGGACTAGCTGAGTAGTTTCTGGTCCTTTACTCAGACCTGCGAGTCTTTCTTTCCACTTCCACCTTCTAAGTAGCACTTGGTATTTCAACTGGATTGTGGCTCTCCTTCTTTCCTGACAAAATTATTAAGTGCACTGCTGAATTTTGTCCCCAAATACACATGCCTAATTTATTAACAGTATCTCTTAAACATTTTCTATGCTACAAATTGAGATGAAATCCTTAAATGTAAACAAACACTGCCCTCCCCCCCAAAAAAACTACTTAGCTGAGAGTATGCATAAAATTCTAGGTCATGCTTATCTTAGAATTGTTGAATGTTACTTGTTCTCTACAGTAAACAAGAAATTCCTACCATTTTAGAAACATTTATAAAGGATTTGCTAGCTATTTGGCATTTGTATTCTTTGCAAAGCACTTTTTATAAAAATTTTTATTGTGTTTTAGGTGAAAGTTTACAGTGCAAATTAGTTTCTCATTCAACAATTTATACACAAATTGTTTTGTGACATTGGTTGCAAACCCCACAATGTGTCAGCACTCTCCCCCTTTCCCTTTATATCCGGGTTCCCCGTGTCCATTCGTCCAGGTTTCCTGTCCCTTCCGCCTTCTTGCCTTTGTTTTTGGGTAAGTGTTACCCATTTGGTCTCTATACTTGATTGAACTGTCCCTTCCGCCTTCTTGCCTTTGCTTTTGGGTAGGTGTTACCCATTTGGTCTCTATACTTGATTGAACTGTCCCTTCCACCTTCTTGCCTTTGCTTTTGGGTAGGTCTTGGCCATGTGGTCTCTATACTTGATTGAACTGTCCCTTCTGCCTTCTTGCCTTTGCTTTTGGGTAGGTGTTGGCCATGTGGTCTCTATATTTGATTGAACTAAGAAGCACGTTCCTCATGTATGTTTGTTTGTTTTACAGGCCTGTCTAATCTTTGGCTGAAAGGTGGGCTTTAGGAGTGACTTTGGTTCTGAGTTAGCAAGGTATCTGTGGGCCATTGTCTCAGGGGTTCCTCCAGTCTCTGTCAGACCAGTAAGTCTGATCTTTTTTTATGAATTTGAATTTTGTTCTACATTTTTCTCCCACTCTGTCTGGAACCCTCTATTGTGATCTCTGTCAGAGCAGTAGGTGGTGGTAGCCAGGTACCATCTAGTTCTTCTGTACTTAGGCTGGTGGAGGCTGTGGTTCATGTGGTCCATTAGTTCTTTGGACTGGTATTTTCCTTGTGTCTTTGGCTTTCTTCATTCTCCTTTGCTCTGAACTTGATGGAACCAATAGATGTTATTTTAGATGGCCACTTGCAAGTTTTTAAGACCCCAGATGCTACTCACCAAAGCAGGATGTAGAACATTTTCTTTAAGAACTGTTATGCCAGTTGACCTAGATGTACCCAGAGGCCATGGTCTCCAGCCCTCAGTCCCAGTAACTTGGTCCCTCAAGGTGTCTGGATGCATCTAGGAAGCGTGTATTACTTTGCTGTGGTCAAGTTTTGCTGACTTCCCCTATATTGTGTGTTGTCTTTCCTTTCACCAAAGGTGATGCAAAGCACTTTCATCTACAGTTCCCATACACAGTAGCACCCTCCATAATGCACTGCAATGACTGTCACCTCCTCAAGGGCAAGGACTGTGCTGGAATCATCTTAGTATTCATTTGCCCCACTCACCTGCAGTGCTTATACTAGGCACTTGGCTGATATTTAGTGAATGAAAACCCTATTGGCCCAAAAGTAAGAAGGGAAGGTACGATTCACCTTTTCAATGTATAAGAAAACTAAGTCTCAGAGAGATGGTCTCATGCCAACTTCACATGGGTCACAACTATTAGTTCATCTCAAGCCTGCTAACAAATCAAGTGTTCTTTCAATAATGAAAATGATAACATTTATTGAGTTCTGTGTATCAAATACTATGCTAAATATTGTATTATCATATTTAGTTACAGCACATAGCCAGCAATAAATATGGCCACCAATGGTATTTTTCTCCTAACTTATTCATTGTAAAATCCCAGCAGATACTTTCATTTCTTTTTTCTTCTACATTTTCAATTTTATCCAAACTGGGACTTGGAGTTACTAGTTTGCTAATTGGGATGTTATAAAGAAAGACAGACGACAAGTAAAATTCCAGTTGGCAGGAAAAAAAAAAAAAAATTAAAAGACTCTCGCCAGTCTAGTACCTTCAAGTGCAGCTCATTAAAACTAATTTTATTCAAGGCGTGATGCTCGCAAAGAGCCAGACGGCACATACCTTAGTTTCCTTTCCCTGCTACTTCTTGCTGTCAGTGCTGACTGTGGCAGGGCTGTCCTGTGTCTGGTTTAGCGTGTGTGTGTGCACGTGCACTGCGAGATGCCTCCCCCAGAGAAGACAGCTATTCCCACTGTGTTTTGGACCAATACCTAAGCCCTTGCAGTACTTAAAGCTCCAGCTGAGGGTGACTGTGGCATCCTTATTGCAGCTTCAGGGCATGCACTCAAGAGTCTCTCGTTCTGACTTAGAAAAGTTTAGTGGAGAAGAGGCACTGCTTTTAGGAATCGGGAAGGGGAGGCAGCATACCGCTGGACAGGTAGGGCAACTTCTGCTCCAGCAGCTCTGAAGCGGCAGATAACAGGTAGGCCAGGCTACAGAGATAAGCAGCAGCTGCATACTATCTAGACTTCCCTGAAGGAGGGTCTGGTTGCCCCATGGGATGCCTAATAGCATCCATCGCAATGGAAATCGTTTGTTAAAATTTAATGCATGCTCCTTACTTTCGGTTTATAGGTAACAAAAGGCGAATTCTGACCTTTAAAAAATATATTAATTAGCGCTTTAGTGTCACTGGGCATGGCCATTGCCTGTCCCCAAGTCTCTGCCTTGGGCTTCGTTCACTCTAATTGCACTCCTGGCTCAAATGGCCCGCTATATGCGAGAGTCAGGGGGTGGACTGTGGTCTGGAGGGAAGTGAAGTGCCCACGTTTAGCAGGCAATGTGACGCCTCCAACCGTCCCTTCCGGGAGGTGCAATCGGGGCCCAGAAACCAGTGTCCCTACTTGAACAATTTTTTGTTTCAGTTCTCAAGGTCAGGAATCACTGTTTCTGAAGACAATTTGATGCTGGAAAGGGCAGGTTTTCAAGAACTGAGCCATTATCCTGATGGAAAAAGTTCTTCTACTGTTGATTAAAAGGCTGCTCTCCCAGGATCCACTGCTCAAGAGGCGTGTGAGAAAGCCCAACTCTTGACAAGCGGACCAGACAACAGAAGGAAGCAGGAGAGTGGGGATGAACCTCCTCCAACACGGATGCAGGGGATGCCGCACCAGCCTGGGTAACCACTCCCGGGAGGTCAGTGCAGTGATGGATGGTAGGTCCCTCAAGCTGGAACAGGAAGTCTGCCTAGGCAGCCCAGCCGTAACCAGGTGGAATGCATTCTGGCACGTTTCAAGGGGCCTATTATCAAATAACCCAGAGCATGATTGTGTTAGGGAGCTTCCTTAAGTTGATTACTATTTAATAAAATAGTTTATTTATTGGAGGTGGAGGAAATATGGCCACTTGAAGGGAAAATGGCTAAAACTAGCTCTTCAGAGGGAGCTTAATCTACTCTCTACAGATCATAGAGATTTGGCTTTGGAAAAGAATATGGATGGCTTGCTTAAAGGGACAAACCTCTTTTAGTTCAATCTTCACCCTTTTCCTTCAGCAGCGACACTTGTTTAGTGGCTATGAAACTAGATTTACAATCATTTTGCAACCAGAAAGGGCTTGTGTAGTGTAATTTAGGCAGCAAGGAAGGTGATTTATGCAGTTATACTCTCCTTTAAATTGCAGGAGAAGCCAAAATGGCGGACATGTGCAGCGTAGGCGGGATCTAGGGGACACCCCAAGGTGAGTGGACCTCCGAGGGACACAGGGCAGGCCTAGGCACACTCGAAGAGTGCAAGCACGCACACGCGTACGGTTTGCTAGTGCAGGTGCCTTAATTCCACTGTGAAACCTAAGGATAGAAGTAACATTTTAAATGTGAGCTGCTCTGCTGTACGTCCAACCGTGTCCTTACAGTAACTGTGCACATATTTGGGGCTGAAACACATGAGTCGATTTCTCATCATTAAAAAGTGAATGTTTATTTCACTGTAATAGGAATGTTTGTCAAAATAATTAAATGGCTGATTAAATAACTCATTGTTAGCCCATACCAATAATTGAATTAAAACAATGCTCCCGAAGATTACAACACAACGCTGCAATACCATGTACCCTCACTAGATGGCAACAGACTGCGTATGCTTGGGTCAGACTTAATTGCCATTTTTTTCACTCTTTTTTAACGTATGAAAAGAAAGATTCATCTAAACTTTCAAATTAAATTGTATTGATTGTAAAAGTATTTCTGAAACACAATAATACATTCCAACCATGTAGGTAGAAGACTTACATTTGGGGCCTGGTGTTATTATTAACACTAGGGTGCAACAAAGAAAAGCATTTTTATTCTCTATTTTTCTATTAATGTGCCTTAAAATTACAAATCACCACCACCAGTGGGACAGGTAGCTTGATTCTCTGAGGGGTTGTAGCTCCATAATTTAATGAAACAACTGCACAGTGAATTTATAATTTGTTCTTTTTTTTTTTTTTTTTGGCAAAAGAATGTTCTGGAAAGCTGGGTGAATTTCAGGTGAAGCTGAAAATGGTTTTCAGGGGTGAAGCCTCTACCACAGATTGCTCAGATTGCTGGGTGGGAGATTTCAGTGTTGGCTACAATCTGGACGCCTGGGGAGAATGACTGGCTTTTGGACCGGCGGCGGAGGGGAAGGGCCCTGTGCTTTGGGAAGTTGTGCGTTTACTGCAAAGGCTGAGCAGCTGAGGAAGCAAACTCCACCCGCCTGAACGGTGTGCTTGGAGGATGGCTGACGGATGAGGGCTTGTTACTCACTTTTACTCAGAGGTGGACAAGAACTCCTGAGGAAATCAAAGGCGTGATGGCGAAGCAAGGAGAGGAAGCAGAAAGGGACAGAAAGGAGGAAGAGGATGACGAATAAAGACACTGTGTAGGCAACTGACCTTATCAGAAATATTCCAGACATATGGAAACTGAAGAAGAGAAAATATTCTGAGCAAAACCACAGATTTCCTTAAAAACTGTACTTTCCTTTATTCGATGTGTCAAAGAGAGAAGAGACAGCTGCATTGCATGTCAGAGCTGGGAGGGATTTCAAAGATAATCAGCTCTATTCCCTCGTTTTAAAGGGGGGGTCTAAAGCCCACAGATGTGAAAAGGCTGTTTCAAGGTCGCTTGCTATAGAAAGTGAGTATAATTTTTTAAAACTTCCTGTCCATATTTCTGATATCATACAAGTATAGAAGGATGCACAGAAACCAGAGAACACCGCGAAGGGAATTCTGTGCACCGTTCTAACGCCTGGATGCAGGCTACACATCTTCTGGAATTGTCTTCCTTGACTGACTGGATGAGCTGTTTACGGCTATGAATTTATATCCACAGCTAACTCCCCTCCCAGCCATGCCTAAGGACACGATCGTCATACAAGGTTGCTGAGGGAGGGAGTCCATGTATGAAATGACCAGAGCTGCCGTGTCAGGGTTAAAAAATGAAACCCTCTGAGTGAATTTCTCCACTTGGTAAATTGCCTGCTCTGCCATACAGAAAATCAAGCTCAGAATGACCTTGGGCGGCTGGAAAACTGGCAGTGTGGGAGGAGTTATGATCCCTGTCTTATAATAGCTGAGAAGGTGTTAACAGTGCCGCTCTGGGGCGTTTGCTGCTAATTGATTCCTACAGCAGCATTAAGCCTTCAGTCCCTACAGCTGGCTGGCGGTGCCCCCGCTCAGCATCAGGACAGCCTGATTCCTAGGGCTGGAGGTGAACGCAGGCGTGGGCTGGTGCAGCTTTTTCAAAGAAAGAGAGAAGCCAAAAAACATGGTTGAGAGGAAGAGAACAGACTGGTGAAAAACCAGGGACTGATGAGCCCAGCTCAGCCTCCTTGATTTTTAAGCTGTTTCCCTAGGAGGTTGAAAGCTCTGGGATGAAGTCCTAGGAACTGGGTCTTGGGGAAGCCTGCCTTTAGATGTCATAAGCATCAATCATAAAATCAAATCAAGACAAGAAAAAAAAAAATCTCTACTAAGACATAACAAAAGGATACCTTTCCAGGATGGAATTCAGAGAAAAACGAGATAGGAAGAGAGAGAGAGAGGGAAAGAGAAGGAAGGAGAATGAATAATGATTTTAATTAAGTCATTTAGACCCACATTTGAACAATTAAATTTGAAAATGTAAATTCTGCATTCTGTTAAATTTCAGTATAAATTAAAAGGAAATTTAGCCCCAGAGGGTCTTACTGAACTATTAAATAAACCATTGCTTGGTTGAATTGATTCTCTGCTTAGGCAAACCTTCACATTGACTAGGGGGGCTTTTTCTTATGGGAACGTACAAGCAATTCCCTTGCAGTTTTCTTACTGACATCCTATTCTAGAATATACGGTAGCTCTGCAGTTACTGCCACCCACGTACCTTCATCATTAGCAGACAGTTTGCCATAGAGTACATCACCCGGCCCAGACGTGACCTCCACAGCTGAATAGAGGCTGCAAAATAAGAGCAGCTTGTGAATGTGCACAAATAAATTAGAGGTTCTTTCTAGCCATCAATTATTGGGTCCTGTGAATTCTGATTTAAAAGATCCCTCTTGTTAACACCACTGGGTTTTACCCTGGATTTTTAATGTGCTGCCGAACTGCACTGTGAGAGAGAAAATATAGCAGCTCTCATAGGGCCTAGCCTGCAATTAGTTCTAGGGATAGGACGTCTGCAGAAATGATGCAGCGACAAAAAACAGTAGGGCAACCGCTCAGCATTTAGTTCAGACAAAGGATTAAATAATCCAGCCAAGAGCCACGTTTCTGAACTTGGGACCCAAAGAAAATACACAAATCCAATGGAAATGACGATGACCATCTGCCGGCAGTCATGTCATTTAAAGGTATAAAAGTTAATCGGCTGGGAAAGCAGCCTGATCAGGGTGGCTGGAGAGAGAGTCTCAAAGCTGAACCCACGTGGGGCGAGCTGTCTGGGAGGGGCACCGCGCTGCCTTGGGCGCAGCAAATCTGCTCAGCGGCATTGTCAGAACATCGGTGGTTTTGCTCGGCTTTAGTTACCAGTGACTCTGTCGCAACTTACCTACCTGCTCAAGGCCTCAGTCTCTTAATCTTTTAAATGGATGCAATAATTCCCATCCTATCTACTTTACAGGCTTTTGTGAGGATCAGCCATGGTAACAGATATAAAAGTACTACCAGATATAAAGTAGGATGATGATGATGATGATGACGGTGATGTTAACACAAAATCAAAACAGACTTTCCATGTGGCATCTGCATAGCAGTGGTATGCTGTAAATTCACATGCTCCTAGGGACATTTTTAACTCCTCTACATGAGGTCGTCATGAGGTGGAATTGACGGCAACTGGGGGTTGTTTCTACAGGAATGTTTTCTTCCTCATAGCATCGGCTGCCACACGGAGCAACTTACTCTCTGAGCCCAGACCGTCACAGATTTCATCTTTTTCTTGTAGACCTATTGGTTATCAGCCATATTTTCCATCCAGGTCTAAAGCTGGAAGGTCCATCTATTCTGTTTTCACACTAGGCTTCCTGGATTCTTTGGGGTCTGTGAAGTTGCCTGAGGGTGAGGGGAGGGCTCCCACATCTCTCTCACTGCAGCAGCTCAAATTGTATCTATTTATACACTGGGATTATTAGCGGTAAGGCTTGATTTGAAGACAGAGCTGACTGAACACCCTTTATTGCTAAGGAAATTGAGGCCCCGGAGGCCAGCTGACATGTCCAGACTCTGACTCTCAGTCCAGTGCTCTTCCCTCCGTGGCTCTGTCCACTCCCTCTTGAAGAGGAATGCCACGTTCAGCATTCAGAAACCTGAACACACCATTAGCAACGCCAGATGATGAGAAGGGGCCATGGTTCACAAACAAATGGCAGGGGGCACACGTCCCCCTTCATCAGAAGGCTCAGAGCCAGAGATTAAGTTTACACTCTACATCATCCAACTCAGGACCAGATTAGTAGGTCCTGGAGCCCTGGTGACGCAGTGGTTAAGAGCTTGGCTGCTAACCAAAAGGTCGGCAGTTCAAATCCACCAGCTGCTCCTTGGGAACCCTATGGAACAGTTCTACCCTGTCCTATAGGGCCGCAATGAGTCGGAATCGAGTCCATGGCAATGGGTTTGGAACACAGTTTTAGTGATGATAGCTCAGCGAGTGTGCCTTACTGACCTACCTACCTACTGACATTTATTTTATGTCTCCTGCCACTACCAATAGTCAATTTTGAGAAAACAATCACCTAGAGATTATGTTTACTCTTGGTGTGCTTAAGAAGAACACAAAAATAACTTAATTGTAAAATTAAGAACTTAACTCACTTTGCCTTTCGGCAATTAAAAATACATTAGTGCCTTATATTCTCCTTATAACATTATTTTTGTGAAAAGAAGAAATTCTGAACAATATCTTTCCTTAATGAATGTAAAATGTGGATGGTCTCAGTGAATTGCAGATTTATTCTGATTATGTCTGCAGATTTCTTTTAGCTCTAATTCTTCCCCAATTCTCCTTTAGGTAAATCTGTTTATCCACGTGACTATTAGATTTCTGGGAATTACCTTCTGGTATCTAATACCTATCTGCTTGTTCCCAATGAAACAGGAGCCCCAATGGAAATAAAATGACTTGGGTGCAATGCTGGAGAGGTATCTGGGATGTCCAAGAATTAATGGTCACTGGAGCCCTGGTGGTGCCATGGTTAAGAGCTATGGCTGCTAACCAAAAGGTTGGCAGTTTGAATCTACCAGCTGCTCCTTGGAAACCCGGGTTGCTATGAGTTGGAATCAACTTGATGGCAACAGGTTTCTCTCCTTCAGACCTTGTTAATTTACCTGTAGTTAAATTACTGCAACACACACACACACATACACACATGCGCGCGCGCGCGCACACACACACACACACACACACACACAGTTTGGGATTTCCCAAACATAGGACATTTTTATTTAAAACCTAATTGTGACCCAGTCCTGTTGACTGCAGCTGGGAACATCTTTTCATCCATGCCATTCTCCCCATTCCCACTCCCATGAGCATGTTTCAGGGTCTCATTACACTCCTGGTTTACTGGAATAGCTTTCCAACTGGCATCCTGTCTCCCAAGTTCTCTCCTCTCCAAGCCACGTCTTCCTCTTTTGGCACATTAGTCTTCTCAAAGCACAGCTTCAGAGGAAACTTAGGGCTTGCCAGTACAACACATGTCAACCAGCATTTAGACAGCCTACCCATGTCAGGCATACAGACATGTGTACGACAGAGTCCATGAACTCAAGGAGGAGTTTATATGGAGTAGGAGAGAAAGCTGTACCAATAATGAAATTATGGGGTGATGGGGCAACTATGGACATATGTGTAGAGAGGCGGCACTGAGAAAGGAGTGATTAAGATGAGAGGGGAGGTAATACCTGAGTTGGGTTTTGAAATATGATTAGTAGTTCATCCCCTCTCTAATGTAGTCAACATATTGCAGCTAAAATGCAAATCTGTTCATGCCAGCCCAGGAGCTGACCCTTAGATGGATTTCCATTGCTTTTAAGATAAAGACCAATATCCTTAGTATGGTCTCCAAGGCCACTATTTTTCTCTTCAGCCTCCTTTTGTAACACTTTCTGACTGACTTACTAGCTTGCTTTTAGGACTATGCTCCCTCCTGCCACAAGGCTGTACACTCTGTCCCTCTTCCTGCCCCCCAGGTTAAACTCGAATTGGCCCTTTAGATCTCAGGTCAAATATCACTTCCACAGGGAAGCCTTCCCAGATGCCCCAGTCTAGGCAGTTTTCTTTCCTACATGTTTTCTCAGAATCACACTGCTTCCTTCATAACACTTAGCTTAGCTTGTCATTTTACATTTATTTGTGCAATTATTTGATTAGCATACGTCTTCTCCCACAAGATGGTGGGCTTCATGTGAGCACAGTGCTTGGCTTAGTAGAAAAAGAAATGAGTAAGTGAATGAATGAATGAATTAGTGAATAAGGAAAAATGAAAGAATGAGAGAAAGTAAATAAAAAAACACCTTTGGGGGGCTACAACTTTTGATAACTTTGATAGTTATTTAGTTAAAAAAGAGTATTACCCACCTACCTTTTCTGTTCTCTTGTGTAATGTTACTCATGCTCCCATCTTCAGCTAAGCCTTGCTCCAAATTTGTTAGAATCTGAAGTAATTTAAAAGAAGAACAACAAAATCAGAAAAAATGAATTTGTTTCCAGGCTTTGTCACGATATATCCCAGGTAAAGTAAATTTCTCTGTATGAAAACCAATTTGTCAAGGAATGTTTTACATGGACACATTTTAAACATCACTGTTACTACCAGACTGAGGAGCATGGCATAAACGAAGAGGGATATCTGTTCTCTGGTTGATGGTGGAATTTGGGTTTATGATGCTCATAATGCATTAAGAGAGATATATATAGGGGATACACACACACACACACACATATCTATTTTTTTTAAACTGTATTTATTTTATTGTTGTTCTTGTTGAGACTATACACAGCAAAAATACACCGATTCAACAGTTTCTCCATGTACAATTCAATGACATCGATTACGTTCTTCGAGTTGTGCAGTCATTCTCACCCTCTTTCTCTGAATTGTTCCTCCCTCATTAACATAAACTCACTGCCCCCTAAGTTTCCTATCTAATCTTTCCAGTTGCTGTTGTCAATTTGATCCCATACAGACAGTTCTTAAAAGGGCATAATGATCATGGCAGATATTTCTTACTAGTTAAGCTAAACTATTGTTTGGTTTTAAAAAGAATTCAGGGGATATTTTTGGTTTAAGGTTTAAAGATTATCTCAGGGCAATAGTTTCAGGGGTTCATCCAATCTTCATGGCTCCAGGAAGTCTGTAGTCTATGAGAATTTTAAATTCTGTTCTGCATCTTCCCCCTTTTGATCAAGATTCTTCTATAGAATCTTTGATCAAAGTGTTCAAAGGAGGCAGTTGTTCATAAAGGCAATTAGCCACACATTCCATATCCTCCTCCCATTCTCTACTCTCCTCCTTCTTCTGTTGCTCCAGGTGAACAGAGACCAATTGTTGTGTCTTGGATGGCCGCTTGCAAGCTTTTAAGGCCCCAGGTACTGGCAAAGAACTAGGAGGTAGAACAGAAGCACTAAAGATATTTTTTAGGTCAATTAACTGGGATGTCCCATGAAACCACAACCCTAAACCTCCAAACCAAGGAACCAAATCCCATGGTAGCCTCAGAAGCTACTTTTTTTTTTTTTTTGTTATAAATATATCTATCACACAACTTATGCCAATTCAACTTTTTACAGGTGTATGATTTATTGACAGCACTTATAATAACTGGCTGTGCAAACCTACCCTTAATCAGTGTGAGTTTTCCATCACTGTAAACTGAAACTCAGTACTCATAAGCAACAACCCCCTTTTTCCCCTCCCTCCTGCCTCTGGTAAGCCCTAATAAAACTTTGGTCTCTATAGCTTTGCCTTTTTCTTGTCTTTTTATAGAAGTGAGGTCATATAATATTAGTCCTCTTGTGATTGACTTATTTCACTCAGCACAATGTCTTCAAGCTCCAATCATACTGTAGCATGTATCAAGACTTCATTTCTTCTACTGGCTGAGTAGTATTCCACTGTATGTATGTATCACCTTTTGTTGATCCATTCATCTATTGATGGGCATTTAGGTTGTTTCCACCTTTTGGCCCTTGTGAACAGTGCTGCAATGAACCCTGGTGTATGAGTCTTTTTTTGAGTCTCTGTTTTCAAGTCTTTTGGATATACACCTAAAAATGGAATTGCTGGGTCATGTGGTAGTTCTGTTTTTAGTTTTTTGAGGAACTGTCACACTATTTTCCACAGCAGCTGTACTGTTTTATTTTTTTTAAAAAAAAAAAACAACAAAGTATGTTACGCATGAGAATGGTTTTTAACTTCTGTGAAAATATCAGTCTTACGTCTCAAGGGCACCAAGAGGTGCTGCGGCCTCTTTTAACACACAAAATAAATTTTGTATAACTGTACTTTACATAGTTTTTACTGTTTGGTTAATAACTTTCAGTTGCTTCTACTGTCAGCTGTAAAGAAGAGAAGTTGTTGGTTTTCCCTGCAAGAAAAGGAGCTGTTGCCACTGTAATTTGGATAGAGAATTTTTTTTTTTGAGGGGCAGGACGAGGGAAAAAAAGAATTTAAGAGCAAAGACTATTTGGCAGGGAAAAAAATGTCACTCTAGAAAAGGTTATATTATAGTACTGTGATTATGGGCTTTAGACCATACGTTTTTGGGAAAAAAATCCTCTCATTATTAGATCACGTCGCCAGTTAACATTTCCCCAAACTACTACCCAGCTCCAACAGGCAAGCAAGGTGTGCAACACAATGGAGAAACCTGCTTTGGTTTCTCATCTGCCCAGCTCTCCAGTCTATGTAATTATGAGGATAAAAATGGACCTTTCCTCATCTGCCTGAGAGTCCTTCAGCAATACTCATCATTTAATACAAGTTAGAGAACAATCTGATGTGAAGATGAAGCCCTCTTCCCAATAAGCTATCTTATGTTACCTTGATGACCCAGAAGACATACTTGGGGTTCAAAATTATAACCCTGCAGAGAGTCTAGCTGGTCTAAACCAGGTCAAATAACACTTTTCAGCTCATTTGTCTTCTTATAAATAATCACAAGAACAGAAACTGACCAGGAAACGTCATCTTGGTATTACCATTAAATTCCCTCAGGTTAGAAAGGGGGAAGAAAAAAACAGAGCAGGGATAAGAATTACGGAAGAAGAAAAGCAGGAATTGTGAATGAGCCTGCACCTCAGAATCACCAGTAGAGATGACATGTCCTCTCCCGGTTCCCCACCCAGTTTCTGATCCAGTAGGGTCATAAATTCTGATGAAAAGGAAGGCATCTGTATTTAACAACAAAACACAACAAACAACTTTTCACCCAGGCTTGAGATGATCAGAATCCCTGAGACAGACTGTAGAGATCTTGAGGGTAAGATGTGTATTTGATCTGCGTGTCTTACCATTGCAGATGATCACTAAACACTGCTGAATCACGAGAATATCTTTCTGCAGAAAATGTCCCAGTACTTCTGAGAGATCTCCATAGCCTATGAGGACATAGCTATCCTTAGCCTAAACTGAACCAAGAGTAGATCAAGTCTTACTACTTTCTTGGCTGATAAGGATGGAGCAGTAGGAAGTATAGGAGTAAAGAAGTTGGAAGAATGACTCTTAGGAAATAAGAGGGAAGAGAAGACAGGATTTCTGGGATAGGAAGACAGCAGCTGGGATAGGAAGAATTACCTGACACGAGGAGGAGTGAGTGGCAACAAGAGAAGAAAAATTTCTGGGAAAGAAAGAACAATAGTTTGTCACTCCCATGATGTCTGGATGCAGAGAGAAATAGAAGCTCCTTCTTCACCTTAGGCACGATAAGCCAACTCAAAAGACGGAGGAGGTTCTCATGTGCCAGCAGCTTTTTCTTCTTTTCGGTTCCAGACCTATGACTTCATGTTTTTTTAGTCATTTTTTTATTTCTTGGTATGTATCTGCACAAGCTGGGGAAGGTACAGAGGTATGAGACAGAGATACCAAGCAAGGTGACAGTTCTTCCTCTCTTCCTCTCCACTGCGCCCTCTCTCAGGCTGGGGTGAGGGAGGTAGAGAACAGCAATGCAATGTCTGCAGGAGCCTGGGTCATTTACCCTATTTTTACATAAATGATGTGTGCCTTCAACGTTTGTTTGCCAGCCGCGCCCTCCCACCACGAGGCAGCTGCACAAGCTCTGCCATGCCAATCCTCTTCCACATGTTGCTGTGAAAAAAAAAAAAAATCAGCACAGCACGTTTATAAAAATATCTCACGGGGCAGCAGGGGTAAGAGGGGGAGGTAAGGCGTGGCGGCAAACAAATGCAGAAGGTGTGCATTATTTTGGTTAAAATACGGGTAGGTGCGTTATCACTAGAGGGCGGAATAGCTGGAAATGGCAAAGGAGAGAATATACTCCTAAAAACCACCTGTACTAGAAATAAGCATAAACATGTTAAATAAAATGTCTGATCCTTTTTTAGGGTGTGTTATTTAAAGATATTAACAGGTCCCTGACTGGTTTAGAAGTGAATCCTTGAGTAAAGTGAACAGAAACAGTAGAGGGTCTCCAGATAATCTAGACAGCATCTATTATTGCTGTCTACCTAGAGATAGTTGTCTGGATTTATAAAGTAATAGTACACGGACTCACGAAAGACTACTTCTATAAAGGAAAGTGACAGAAACATTTCCAACGCACAGCTTGAATTGTTTAAGAACTACAGATATTGCAAGAAACACCTGAAATGGTTTAGTATACAATGTGAGAGGGCTGCAGCTTCCTCTGGGTTCCTTCCGTCACAGGCTGAACAACCGGGGCCCAAGTGAAATCGAAAACTGAACAGTAGTCATGTGTTTGTTTCCCAGGAGAATAAAGGCATGAGGCGCTCAACCCAGTCCATTCTGGAAAATGCTCACAGGGAGCAGAACGACATTACACAGGATCCATGTGAACAAGAAAATGGCTACCACATCTACTTTAGTTGGTGGAAGAAGCCTCAAAGAGGAAGGTGTTTCTTTCAGCCTCACCAAATTTAAATAAAAAGGACTTTATAACCCAAGTAAAATGTGACGCTAAAAGTGACCAAACCCACTCTTGGTTGATGTTACTTTATTAGGAGTTACTAATACTTGTCTGTGTCCCTCATTAGCCTATAAGCTGCACTGGGGGAGGGATCCTGTCCGTCTTGCTCACAGATGTCTTCCCTGTGCCCAGTATTACTGACACGAGACGTGCTCCATAATGGATGAATGCATGTTCCTAAAGAGACAGGTGTAAGCACAAGTGTGTCAAGTATTAGGGAAGAAACCGAGGTACTAAGGGTGCTAAAGTCAAAGGTACCAGCTAAGCAGTGGTGCAAAGAGGGCTACTCATTGCTGTCGAGTTGATTCTGACTCATAGTGACCCTACAGGAAGAGTAGAACTGCCCCAGAGGATTTCCAAGGAGCGGCTGGTGGATTCGACCTATTGGTTAGCAGCTGAGCTCTTAGCCACTGTGCCACCAGGGCTCCCCATTTTGGGGCCCAGTTTCTTCCTTAGAGCCAAGTATCAGCTCTCACTTCTCAATGTGATAA